GCCCTCGTTTTTCCTGTATTACGCGTATTACACATGTACTTCAAGTAGTGTGCTTGCATCCTCCTGAATGACAGTTACTTAACATCAAGTGATGACAGCATGCAACTGGGTAAACAAATCTGACATGGCATACCCATTACTGTTTAATCTACACTACATTAGTTGACGGATGTCATTTTCTCTTGAATCTGACTCTTGTCACCATTAGCCATCCATTTAGAGTCTATATGGTCCAAATCAAAAAAGTTAGAGAGGCCGGATATATTTTGTCTTTAGCAAAGACTTCTTCAGAGGCAAATGACATGGGATTAGGGAACAAAGGAGTGTTGTGGGGGATGGGAAACAAAAGGGGGCTGGAGGGAGGGAAAGAGGCAGAGGGAACAAAGGAGAGTGGTGATGAATGTAACAGGGTAAAGAAGAAGAAAGAAAAGAGCAAGGGCAGTGTAGTCAGTATAAAGAGAAAGAGGTGGGGGAAAACAAAGGACGAGTGAAAACTGCAGAGGGTGAGATAGATCTGAAATAAATTACACTTGGAGAAATAGAAACATTAATCGTTGCCTTGTTGGATGTTGAGTCCCTGTGGCTCAACAGTCTGAAGACGCTTCATCCACACTTTCTCCCTGCTTACGAACTGAGTCCTTGCGAAGGCCAAGTGACTCTATACCCCTGTAAAGTCATATCAGAAATGGAATGGTTAGGCAGGTTGAAGTGGTGACCAACAAGTGTGTCCAGTCTCTTGGTGTTGACAGTTGATCGATGACCACAGAAAGGCTTTTGATAAATGATCCAATTAGAGACCTTTGCAATCGAATTGATTAATCTTCGCATTCGGCAGTAATATCACATATAAGGATGGGACTGAAGCCTCGCCCTTTCACAGTGTGTAGTATGATGCATGCACTGCTAACGCAGAACTCCAGATGTTCTCCACCGCGGTTGAAAAGTGGTTGCCAATTCTCAAAGTAAACCAAATATTATCCTGAATTTTGCATCCAGTCTGGTGAGCCTTTTTCATATCTCTTGTCGTAGTCGGTATCCAGGATGACTGCAGCAACTTTATCGCAAACGACAATGGACTTGGGTTTCTACAATGCCTCTCCATTCAATGCATCAATAGAGCTGAAGACTGAGACCAGTGATTACCTAACTAATGTTGTAAAACTCATCTTTGTCATCACAGAAACCGTTCTACTCCTAACACTGAACCCACTTTGTCTCCTGGCTCTGAGTCATGTCCATGACATGGTCCAAGACACCACGAAAGTGTTTCTCCGCTCCATGACAGCCGCCGATTTGGGGCTGGGGATATTTTGGGCCATACCAATGACACCATCAGTAATTTATGGAGACTGGCAGTTTGGGGATGCACTGTGTGGGATGCAGTCCTTTCTGTTCATCTGCTGCATACTAGGATCCCTTCTTTCGCTGCTCTTGTTATCCATAGACAGGTACATTTCCGTTGTGTACGCGCTCCGTTATCATTCCTTATTGACAGTGAAACGAGCACGAATCACGGTCTGTACTGCATGGGCAGTTGTCTTGTGCATAGTGACAGGGTATGGTCTTCTCAGCAGTTGGAGATGCAAGTACGTTAACCGTTCACTTGGGTGCACTTTTGACTCCGATGATGGGGGTTCCTCCATCTACATTAAAGTTATCTACCTGATTATTTTACTGTGCTGTATGCTGACACTTGCAGTCGTGTACATCAGACTTTTCCTGATTTCGCGCCAGCACGCACGCCGCATTCACGTCGACAACCAGCCTGCTGGACTGGGTAACCGACTCTCAAGGCCTGCTACCAAGACTCTACACACCGTGCTGCTCATTACATTGAGTGCACTTGTTTTCAATCTTCTGCCTATTATTTACCTCCTATTGCGACTTCATACCAGTGATATGGCAACCCTGTTTGTGTTTGTGCTACCCGTACTGACAAACAGTTGGGTAAACGTCGTCATTTATTACCTCAGGAATGGGGAAATTCGCCGAGCGACATTCAATCTTCTGGTATCATGCTACAAATGTTGCAAGCAGTGCACACATTGCAATCCAAATTAAGAGACTTAAATGACAGATTTAAAAACAACTAGACTTATGTTTGTGGACAAACACAGGGCTGTTTCGGTAACTTTTTGTGACATGTCATATGTAAAGTTTCAAGAATAAGGAAGGATGTGTAGTTCTGTTTATAATAAATGATGGCATGTAATATGTGATTACATTCTCATCGGGCTTTGAATTATGATGTCACATGTCACGTGATTATGTCATGATGACGTTGAATGTTCATCTTTATCACATCCCGGTCTAGGTACATACAAAGTGTTAACCTATTCAGACCTGTAGTTTTGTAGATATTGGCCTTTAACCCTAACTCCTGGGGCTCTTTTACTAGAAAGTATCCTGAATCCGCCAAAATCCACCAATTTTGTCATGCAAAAAATGCTGGTATCCTGAATCCATCAGAATCCCCCAGTGTAGATTCTAGAGGTATCCTGAATCCGCCAGAATCCACCAGCAAAAGTCTTGATGGATTCTGGCGGATTCAGGATACCATGGTGGCATAAAAAAAAATACAGCATGTTTTTCCATAGAGTCTTCAAAATCCATCACCTAAATTTCTGGTGGATTTTGACGGATTCAGGATACCATGCTCGCATGAAAATTGTGATGTGTGTTGTTGCATAGAATCCGTCAAAATACACCAATGCATGGCGACCCCAGCATGGATCAGTACCGAAGTGAATACGTCTCGCGCACAAAATTTGTGTGAAAGACATAGCGCATGTTTCAGCCCGTAAACCATAGATATAGAATGAAAAGACTAGATCGGCAGCGCGTCCACACGCGCCCAGTCACTGTGCGATAAATCTCTGCCATTTTGGTTGTCTCTCATAGATGTGCAACAAATGAACGTAAAGTAATGGAGCTAAATGTATCTTTCCTCCAGCACGTGACCTAGCTCAACACGCGCGAAGCAAGAAATGCGCATCGAGTATTTACGCGATGCGCACACATAATTATTAGCGATGCACATGGTGTTCTTTGCGCGTAAACGGCGTTGCGTTCGTTACGTTTCACGCATTATTTGTATCTTTCCTCCAGCAAGTGACCCTCCATGCAAGTCCACCCAGTACATGTGTGTACATGTTTGTACAGTACGTGACAGACTTGGCAGGGCTAGTGCCAGCAGTATTTACTTGACCACAAACATTGCAAAAGAGTTAAATTGTTGAGATCCTGAATCCATCAAAGTCCCCCAATAGCTCAAAATGGAGGTATCCTGAATCCATCAAAATCCGCCAGTTCCGCTAGGCTTCGAATCCTGAGTCCATCAAAATCCCCCAGTTCGTTCAATATGGAGGTATCCTGAATCCGCCGAAATCCCCCGAAACAGGGGGGTGGATTTTGATGGATTTAGGTACGTTAGGGTTAAAATATGCAATTTTAATGTGACGTCACATGTCACATGATGACGTCATCGTGACGTCACTGAATTTTTCATCTATAACACATCCAAGTTAAGGTACATGTACATACCAAGTTTCAACCCAATCGGACCTGTAGTTATGGAGATATACATGTACGGTAGGCCTTCAATATATGTACATATATTGTGACGTCACAGGTCACATGGTGACGTCATGATGACGTCAATATTTGGCACACATCTTCAGATGCTGGTCTAAGTGTGTGCCAAGTATAAAGTCAATCGGATTGATTTTAGTGCCCAAAGTGCCTTCCACGATGAAAACGTGTACAAATGCTATGGGGCATGGCTGAAAAAAAAGGGGAAAAAAAACACTTTAACATAAGGCCAAAAAAAAAAAGTCTCCGGTTTCTGGTATGGAGCTTGCCCCAAAAGTGGTGCGGCGACGCGGCTTTTTTTTTTTTTTACCTGTTTTTTTTTTTTTTTTTTTGGCTTCAAATGTCAGCTGATGACTGCAAATGGTGCCCGACTAAACTTAGTGCAAATATATGGGAGTCCAGAGAGGCCACATAAAGCTTATTCTCGATCATAACCCCATCTAAAAACACGTTAAAATTGTGCAGCAGCAGGATACCAGTCAAACCAGTGAGTTTGGCGGTTTTGAGACATCATCTTGTATTGAAAAAAAACCTTTTTCATTTTGCCGACGCGCATGGCTACGGCGACGCGCACGCATACCAGAAACCGGAGACTTTTTTTTTTTGGCCTAAACAAAGGCTGTTTTTTTCTCCTCAGAAGTAAATTAAATACTTTGCAGTGAGAACATGGGGAGTGTACCATACATAGATTTTGCCGACAAGCATATCAGCCCTCATTTTCCTCATATTGCACTGCGTTTTAATGTCAATACTTTCAAACCCACTCGTATTTCAAGTGACACCCACGCAGTGACGAGAAGTGTGATCGCATCCTCAAAATGAAAGTTAGCTTCGAGTGACGACAGCATGCAACTGGGTAAACAAATCTGACATGGTATACCCATTACTTGTTAATCTAAACTTCATCTGTTGATGGTTATCAATTTGCCTTGGATCTGACTCTTGTCACCATAAGCTGACGATAAAGGGTCTACATTGTATACGATCCAATTAGAGACCTTAGCAATACAATTATAGCTTAATCACCAGACTGAGCAGTAATTGCACACACAGTTATGAGACAGAAGCCACACCCCTTTTTTTAGTCACAAAATCACAGTGTGTAGCATAATACATGCAGTGCTGACGCAGATCTCGAGATGTTCGCAACTGTGGTTGAACAGTGGTCCTCGTTTCTCAAAGCAAACCAAATTGTATCTTGAATTTTGCATCAAGTCCGATGAGACTTTTTCACAAATCACAAATTTCTGTTTAGTTTACTTATACCAGTATTGTTCTGTCATCACACTCTGTCAGTTCATCTGTAAAGAAATACTAGCACAGAATTCAGACTTCAAATAATTTGCAGTTCTGCTTGGAGACAACTTTCTAGTCATCGTGTGTTTCACAGTATCGTGTCTGTTTCCAAGATGACTGCAGTAACTTTACCGCAAACGACTATGGACTTGGGTTTCTACAATGCCTCTCCATTCAATGTATCCACAACGCCAGAATCAGGGACCAACGATTACGTAACTAATGTTATGAGACTCATCTTTGTCATCACAGAAACCGCTCTACTCCTAACACTGAACCCACTTTGTCTCCTGGCTCTGAGTCATGTCCATGACACGGTCCAAGACACCACTAAAGTGTTTCTTCGCTCCATGACGGCTGCTGATTTGGGGGTGGGGATTTTCGTGGCCTTCCCAATGATACCTTCGGTAATTTATGGAGGCTGGCCGTTTGGGGATGCATTGTGCGGGATGCAGTCCTTTCTGCTCCCCTTCTGTGTCACAGGATCCCTTCTTTCGCTGCTCTTGCTATCTGTAGACAGGTACATTTCCGTGGTGTACGCGCTCCGTTATCATTCCTTATTGACATTGAAACGAGCCCGAATCATGGCCTGTGCTGCATGGGCAGTTGTCTTGTGCACAGTGACAGGGTATGGTCATCTCAGTGGTTGGCGAGCCAAGTACTTTGACTACTCACTGTGCTGCATTTTTTACATCGATGGTGGGGGTTCCTACACCTACATGCAAGTTACCTACACGATTATTTTGCTTAGTTGTCTGCTGACATTAGCGGTCGTGTACACCAGACTTTACCTGATTTCACGCCAGCATGCATGCCGCATTCATGTCGACAACCAGCCTGCAGGACAAGGAAACCGACTCGCTAGGCCTGCTACCAAGACTCTACACACCATGCTGCTCATTGCATTGAGTGCACTGTTTTTCAATCTTCTGCCCATCATATTCTTCACCATGATTATATATAATAACAGTGCAATGCTGACCCTCTTTCTGTTTGTGCTGCCCGTACTGACAAACAGTTGGGTTAACGTCGTCATCTATTACCTCAGGAATGGGGAAATTCGTCGAGCGACATTCAATCTTCTGGTATCATGCTACAAATGTTGCAAGCGGTGCACACATTTCAATCCAAATTAAGGAATTCACACAAAACAGATTTAAAAACAAATATTTAGTTTTTCCCGTCAGTAGTGTACTGTCTTTTTCAAACATCAAAAAGTGATAAAGGATGGCCGTTGACTTCAACATTTGCCATGGTCACATGCCTCAATAAGCTATGTTTTCTCCTACATTACAGGTAGGTAAATCATCATCTTATTGTTAATGTCTTGAGATTGATATTTTAGAGGACAGTCTTACAAATTTCTCCCCATTTTGTAAAAAGTGGTTTGATATATTCTAGGCAGTCTGTGATTCTGTGTTTTATTTACATGTAAATATACTGCAAAATAGATCAACAAACTTGTTCTTTTGTGTTTTAAAAGCCAGTCTTTATGCTTTGCCCTCTCTTTTGGTTTTTGTATATTATTCACACAAAAACGACTGCAGTTATATGCAGATTTTTTGCAAACGTTTACATGAAATTATTGAAAAAATGTTTTTGAATGTTGTACAGGCATAGTTGTAGTTTGACCAAGTTTATCGAAGTCACAGTAATATCTGTGTCAAATTACATGAAAAACTTAATGTACATGCATTTAGTTTTGATGCAATGTAAAATGCAGTTTGTCTGAAGAAGATTGCACTTTTAGTTTTAGCTTTTTGTGGTCACAGCATTTTCCATTCTTGTTGATAGGTATCACTAGACTATATCATATAACTGACATACAAGTACAGATGCTTGTCATTTGATTGGTGGAACTCACATCACGTGACATTCGGTATTGCTACTATTCACGCCGGGCTCAAAAAGTCCCATTCGCCCATGGGGAATGGGAAATACTATTCAACAGTTACCGGTATGATAATTCTTTTTCCATGACGCGGTATTTGTGTGCAAATGCATGCTGGTGTGCGTGTTCAGCATTGCGCGAATTGTTGCGAAGAGCCAGCGCTACAGAGTTGAGTTCAAACATTTTCGTGAAGGGGTGGTTTGGAAGAGAGAAATACATTTTCCACCAATTTTGTAATGAAATAAAAGTTCAAATATATGACAAGGATCTGGCTTTAAATTGTAAAATGGGAGGAATATTACGCCTATTGCTCGGTAAAATCTGTACTTTTCAAGTTCACTCAACTTTGCTCATGAAATGGAAAAGTCCAGATTTTAGCTTGCGATATTCCTCCCATTCCACTCTGAGCCACTCAATATTTGTACACTATGCATTGTATACTATACATCTACAAATGTACTATCCCATAACAGTGAACAAAAGTTGCCTGTTGTGCAGTGAGACATGGCATTTTTTACTCCCGAGGAAGGCAGAGCACCCGAGAAGGGGCCGAGGGTACTAAGCGTCCTCGAAGGAGTAGAAAAAAAACCACCATGTCCTACAGCACAAGAGTCAACAAATGTTTTGTTACACGGGCTATTTATTAAAAATATGATAAATGTTGTGACTTTCTGTGAAAGAAAGAAATTAATCACTGTATTGTACCTTTGATTAATGATTAAGGCGCGCACCCTGCACAAGCACCAATATGCAACGCTGTGTTTACATTAATATACAAGGTGAGGTATATAGGGTGATTTATAATGCAATTCTTGTAGGCTAGATATGTGATCGTTTTTAACCAATGAAATTACAGTATGAAGACACAATATCAAAGTCATTTCTTATAAAAATAAATTTTAGTAGCAATATGCCAGAGCTTGAAGTCTGGGTAAGGCATTGTAGCAACAGTCCTAGTTGAAGTACATGTTTGGGAGTAATAATTCTAGAGAAGTTTGAAATTCTATCTTTAGATTGCATTGTCCTATCTGTACATTAATTTTAAAATGCAGATAGTATGCCTTCTACTCACAGACTACCCATTACGTAGCCTGCCAGCAGTTAAGCGGCACTCGGTTAGCCTTAGTTGCAACCGCCAAGGCCAGAGACCGACAGTAATTGCCAATCTCAACCTCAAACGGTATTGACCAAGCCCCGAAATACAAATGGATACCTGGATTGCCATTGCCGAAAGCACAGATACCCTTTTGCAATGCACCAGAACCAACACCAGTGCGGTACAAATTACAAAATGTAAAAATATGGCTTCACCAATGCGGTAACCCTCACCATCACAGCTGCATTTTTTTCTTATTAATCTTGCCGACAAAGTCCACACTGAAATCACAGAAAACAATCAGAATTGCCTGAAGACTATATTTATCTGCAACTTCATATATACTGCTGTTTTCCTAAGAAAACATTTGATGGAAAACAGGCAATTTTTGACACTACAAACTCTTGCTTTGCTGCAGGTAGTTCTGCCACGCCTACTGACCCAGGTACATGCGGGTCACGCGAGATACGTTCCATGTGCTATTTGCATACCTTTTACCATAACAGACAGTACTCCAGGACTGGCATTGCCCCAAATTAATTTGTGTGTATAATCATTAACAACCACAACGTGTTCAGGTTATTTACCAGTTAGAGGCTTTTTATCAGACATGCGCACATTGTCCTTTGAAAATGGCCTGGACAATATTGTACTACAATCACAACCGGTATGTGCAGAATTTTTTTCTATTATATCGCTTCTCCTTGCTCATGGCATTGTATGTAAGCACAAACCTAAAGCTATTGGATACGTACAAGTATTAGATGTGCAACTTTTCCAGTTGTATTTCAACAGAGTCCAACTACTATTTCTATTTTAGATGTTTTAAACCCTCCGAAAATTACTCTTTTGGGGGTTCGATGTCTCATTCAAAAGTTAAGATCTTTTGTGTTGCTACAAAAACAGCAATTTAAAAACAATAGGTCTATCTATATTTCACGGTGAAACTCGACAGTATCCTGGGGAGAACCACAAGGCACTCGTGATATTTACTCTACTATTAAATATAGGCCATTGCAGCCAAGATGAAAGTAGGTTCAGACCCCAGTTTGGTCATGTTTGGCCTGGGCTACTGATACATTTGACAAAGTTTGGTTGAAATTGTGTCAAAATATGTAGCAACAATAAGCCATTTAATGGCTTACTGCCATTTGCGAGTTAAATTTGAATGAAATCTGGAACGCTGACTAAATCCAACGCTTTGCACGTTTTAACTTTGCATTCTCCCAACCAAAGAGACTGTTACTATATCAGGTGATTCGGGGCAAGCCTTATAAATGCTAGCAACCCCCAGTTCCGGCATGGTCTGGTGTCTTTGTGCCATTCTCACCCATTGTGAACAATGTATTGGTGCTGAGCGTCTCTTACGTAACTATGCAAGAGCTTGCCCCGAATCATGTGATTAGCAACAGTGTATTTGGTCTGGAGAATTCAAAGTTAAAATGTGCCAAGCATTCTGAGCAAGTCAGTGTACCAAATGAGGTAATTTACAATTGTATGTGAAATGCGATGTATCTGAGGTAAACAGTCATTTTTATAGACTAGATACGTGACAGTTTTAGACCAATGAATTTACAGTATCAAGACACAATATGACAAATTAATTTGTGATAGAAATTAATGGTATCAAGTAAATTAGCAATATGTCTGAGCTTGAAGTCTGGGTAAGAAATATTAACGACAGTCCTAGCTGGAGTGTCTGGGAGTAGTAATTCTAGAGAATTTTGAAGTTCTATCTTTAGATTGCATTACAATACATCGTACATATACACATGTATTGTGACGAGTCCCCCAACCACTTACAGACTACGCATTACGTACCCTGCCAGCAGTTAGGTGGCACTCAATGACCCTCAGCCGCCACCGCCAAGGCCAGAGACTGACAGCAATTGCCAGTCTCAACCTCACACGGTATTGACCGAGACCTGACACACAAACAGATACCTGGATTGCCATTGCTGACAGCACAGATACCCTTTTGCAAACAGTGCACTGGTATGACAGTGCGGGATATTTAACGTATGTCAAAATTATGGCTTCACCCAGGCAGTTGTCCTCAACGTCACAGCTGCATTTTTTTCAGACTCATCTTGCCGACAAAGTCAGCACTGAAGTCACAGTAAACAATCAGAATCCCCCTGAAGACAAGTTTTCTTCAACTTTACAACTACTGCTGTCTTCCTAAGGAAATATTTGATGGAAATTTGGCAATTTTTTGCACTTAAAACTATCGCTTTGCTGCAGGTAGTTCGGCCACGCCTACTGACCCAGGTACATGCGGGTCACGCGAGAAACGTTCCATGTACATTGTACACCCGGAAATGCTATTTGCATGAATACTTGTCATCATGACACAAATTCTGAGATTGGCAGTGAGCCAAATTCCTTCATGTGTATAATCTATATATATAAGAGAGAGTTTAACTCGGCCTCCGAGACGATGTTTGCTCATGAAAGGATCCGAGACCGCGGGCTCCCGCGGCGCCAAAATCGCTCCACGTCCGTGGAAAAATACGGAGGGTGTCTTCCGCCGGGTCGGACACTTCGGGTCGTCCTGATTTTCCCGTACGGACCGGCGATCCTTTTCGTCTATTTTTCGTGACTGCATTTTGCACAGGAATTTTCCGTCGTGTGCGCTTTCACGTTGACTGCCTGGCCGCCCCCTGTGCTGGCTTTTCTGCGAGTCTAGACTGTGCGAGGTCAGCGAGGTCAACGTAGGGGTTTTGTTTACGTGTTCTACTCAGCCGTTCTGCAAAAGCGTTCACCAAATTGTGGTATGGGGTGACCTTGGTAAAATATTTTTTCTCCATGGTGCGTGGCCACCGAGTGCCCCTATTCTTTCATATGCTTCGCTTGCCGCCCCTGCGCCGAGTGCAACGAATACTCAGAAGGACTACACATTAAGTATGCCTTGCGCGGTCTGACCAATCGAAAGTCTACACTGCGTAGTATTTCCGGGCTATGCAAAACTGTCGATGGCAACGCGTACTGCAGCCTGCTCCACACCCTGGAAACGAGGTTGGGTCTACGGTGCTCGCTATTTGCATGATTTGAAGCACAAGCATGTGAGTGACGTGTATAGTGCTCTGTTGCTTCCATCGTGTGTTAATACAGCTCCATGCTTCCACCAAGGCTGAGCGTTGTGAGTT